TATTCACCTCGCTATTTTACCTCACATTGTCAAACCTCATGGTACCTCACATATTATGGTACCTCACACATTCAACCTCATGGTACCTCACACATTCAACCTCATGGTACCTCACATATTCAACCTCATGGTACCTCACATATTATGGTACCTCACACATTCAACCTCATGGTACCTCACATATTATGGTACCTCACACATTCAACCTCATGGTACCTCACACATTCAACCTCATGGTACCTCACATATTCAGAGGTAATGCACACAAGTATCACCTCCCCCACCCCCCCCCGGTCTCCCCAAGATGTTAAGTCACCCTCAGGTGTATCGATCTTACATAAGTGTCAAAACCTTACGTCCATGATCTTGAGGTATACAAAGGCTCTTACGTTAAATTTTCCTCTTAACTGGAGACGTGTGAGAGAGAGAGAGACTACAACACGTGAATGAATTCTTACAAGTTCTTAAGTTAAATCGTTCTCTTAAACTGGATATATGGGAACGTGTTTAACTGGGGGTCACAAAGTTGGATTCTCAAAGGATATTTTAAGTTATATTTTCCTCTTAACTTGAGGTGGGAGATGGCATTTAAATGGACCACTTCCAATACGACATAAAAGTGGATTCTCAAAGGTTCCCAAGTTAAATTTTCCTCTTAATTGGACATATGAGAACGTTTTTAACTGGTCCACTTCAAATACAATAAAAAGTTGGATTCCCTCTGGTTCCTACGTTAAATCCCCCCCCCCCGCCCCTAATTGACTCACACACGGTACACAACAACACACACAGATCAATTCTCGCTGTCTGTAGGTTAGGAGTCCATCCTCCAATTAGCAGGCCATAAACTGGGGCAATTAGGCAAGGTCTACATCTCCAGTTAGGGGGGAACGGGGAAGAGGAGGGAGAGGGGGGGAGGGGAGGGAGAGGGGGAGGAGGGAGAGGTAGAGGGGAAATTTGATGTAAGGAGTTTTGAGAATTTCCTCTTTATGCTGTACTCTGACGACCCAGTAGGGGGAGGAAAGTGAGGGGAGGGAAGGAGGGGAAGGGGAGAGGATAAGGTAGGGAAGGGTTAGTGGGAAGAAGGAAAAGGGGAGGGAGAGAATGATGGTAAGAGGGAGGGGAGTGGGAGAGAGGAGAAAGAAAACAGGAAAGTAAGAGGGAGGAGAAGGAAGGGAAGAGAGAGGGAAAAGAGAGGGGGAAGGAGGAGGAGAAGAGGAAGAAGGAGGAAGAAGGACGATAAGAGAGGGTGGTGAGGGGAGGGAGGAGGGGGGGTAAGTGGATGCAGAGAGAGGGAATGGAGGGGAAGGGCATGAAGAAGAAGAATAAGAGGAGGGAAAAGGGAGAGGAGGGAAGAGTAGAAGTGTAAGAGGCAGGTGAAAGGAGGAGACGAAATGGTTCAAGGAGGGTAAGAGAGAGAAGAAAGGAAGGGTAAGAGGAAGCGGGAGGGGGAAGGGAGGGGGGAGAGAGGGATTATCCGACCTTAGGAGGCAGCAGAAGGGCCCCGAGGCCTGAATGATGACCTGACGTTAACAAGGATCATGACAGCTGCAGTTAATCCCTTCTCATTATGACGGAGAATCTGCCTCACCTTCTCCGTCAGTCAGTCAGTCAGTCAGCTTTTTTTAGTCACTTAGGATGAGAATTTTTTGGAGGGTTCATAGATAAATCATTAAAAAAATAACAAATAAAAAGATACCAAAAAAAAAAAATAAAAAAAAATAAAAAAAAATAATAAAAAACAACAAAAGAAAACAATAATACACACACCATAAAACAATAAAAAAATTAATAAAAAAAACCCATTGATAACTAAGGAAGAATAAAACAGTGAAGGTACAGCACAAACAGCAATGGATACTTACCCTGAAGAACCCCATGGTGGATCCTCCCTCTAGCGTGCCGTACTCGATCTCACTCTGCTCTGCCAGGTCCTCCGCGCTCTCTGACGAAGGAGAAACACACATACAGTTGGTGGTCTTATAAAACTCTTGATGTTAAAGGGTGCTGACAATCCCCTCTCCTCCCTCTCACTCTCTCATTCTCTCTCTCTCTCTTTCCTCTTCTTCTCCCCACTCCCTTCTGTCCTCTTCCCTCTTGCAAGATACGATATTCCTCCCTATCTCTTTCTCTCCCTCCTTTCTCCACTTCTCCCCTGCAAGATTATGACGTTCCTCCCTCTCTTCTCTCTCTCCTCCTCCACAAAATCTTCCTCCTCCTCCACCTCACAAGACAAACATAGGTGTAATTAACGTCCCGACAGGTGAGGTGTTGTTCACATAACTTGTAAAATGGAACGGATCAAAAGGATGGTGTTACGTGACGTCACAGCCAGTTACCTTTGACGTCATAGATGTTTACCAGTGACGTCATATCCGGTTACCAGTGAGAGAGAGAGAGAGAGAGAGAGAGAGAGAGAGAGAGAGAGAATATTGGGGTGTGAACGTTGAGAGATAATGAGGACGGGAGACTGTAGTTGAGATAAAGAAGAAGAAGAAGAAAGAATAATGAAGGAGGAAAACAGAATAAAAGAAGGATAAAAACAAGAACAACAACAATAGCAACAAGATGAACAACAACAACACAGCCTAATACACACCCCTCCACAACAGGTTACCAGATCTTCTAAACTTACATACATATAAATTCCTTCATTAAACTTTACCAACGTTCCCAATTCCTACAGCAGATTACCCATTCCAATTTTGGTCTAATACACATATGGTTCAATTTTTTTCTTCTAATTCTCCATATAAATGATCCAAAAAATATAATGGTTTACATATTAACATCTGATTATTTTTTTTTTCGATAATGACAATATTTTTTTTTTATTTAAATTTATTCCTTTATTTTTTTCTACTTTTTTTTATTATATTTTTTTCACTTTGTTTTTATTTATTCTGTATTTTTATTTTGTTCTTAATTTTTCTTTATTAGATTTGTATTAGTTTACACAATTAATATACATTTTATATTTCATTATCCTATACATATTCCTTCACATTTCAATCCTCTAAACATTATATTTCTCTTTATTTACAGTAGGTTTACGGTGATAATGTCTCATAAGGGGGATTGAACCCTCTTCAGTCCACAGAGGGAAAATTATATTATTATGGAGATCCAATTCTACACACTAATTTAACCTGCTTTTGAATCCCTTATTGGAGTGAGGGGGGGGGGGTGATCTGTGAGGTGAGGAAGAGGTGAGTGAGAGAGAGGTGAGGGAGACATGTGAGGGAGATGAGGAAGATATGTGAAGGAGATGAGGTTGACATGTGAGGTAGATGACCCAAGAATCAACAAGAATCACTCAAGAATCAGCAAGAATCACTCAGGAATCAACAAGAATCACTCAAGAATCAACAAGAATCACTCACGAATCACCCAAGAATCAAGAAGTATCACCGAAGAATCAACAAGAATCACTAAAAAATCAACAAGAATTACTCAAAAAACAAGAATCACTCAAGAACCAGTAAGAATCACCGAAGAATCACTCAAGAATCACCCAAGAATCAACAAGAATCACCCAAGAATCAACAAGAATCACTAAAAAATCAACAAGAATCACCGAAGAATCACTCAAGAATCACCCAAGAATCACCAAACTTACAGCCAGTCTCCCACAAACACCCACAACACTGCTGACCCAAGCGACGAGACGCACCACATCCTCTGCGACCGTCTCATTCCACACTACCCTGCAGTGCTGACCAGGACGCCATCTTGGACATCAATGACGTATGTAAAAGTGTGACGTCATACCCAGGCAAGAGGACGTCATCATACCCCAGCTGAAGGTCAACACTACAGGACTCACTACTGTAGTTCGTCTTTACTAGCATGTTAGTAATAAACATGCATTGTTATTAAGACTACATAAACACAAGTAAGCTTCAAGAGTATTTCACACTGTAGTCATCACAAAGTGCAGATTGTCGACACATCTGCTAAGCTCAGCACACATCTATGTAACAAGATGAAGTCACACAGGTTAATGACTATGAGGAATTGGTTAGGTGTGGCAGAGAGGTGTCCTGGCACCACCGTGTACAGGTAAGTCTCACACAGCAACACATTACTCACTCACAGAGCCAGAGGCTGTTGTGTCTAAACTCTAATGTGCAGATGTTAGTGAAGTGTGTTGTGACCTTACCGACGCCCTGGTGTGACCCTCGCTCATAACGGGGCCCAGGGGTGTTGAATAGGTCGACGGGAGCGTCGTTAAAACACGCAGAACTCCTGCACCTCCCAGGAGACTGTTCTCCTTAAAAAAGACCAGAGCACATCTCTCTCTCTCTCTCTATCTCTCTCTCTCTCTCTCTCTCTCAGCTTATAATAGTTGCTTCACTCAACACGCAACAATATGTTTCAACATAATCCCTGCCACATAAAGTGTTAATTACGCAACATTTCAGCTACAAATATATTATAAATAACAATTAACATTATAATTTCAATGATTGAAACAATAACTATGAGTTAATAAGTCAGAACAGGTAAGACAGGTGTAAGGACGTACCTATGAGTTAATGAGTAAGAACAGGTGAGACAGGTGTGAAGACCTATGTAAAGATTAATGAGTAAGAACAGGAAAGACAGATGTAATGACGTACACATGAGTTAATAAGAACAGGAAAGACAGATGTAATGACGTACACATGAGTTAATAAGAACAGGAAAGACAGATATAAAATGTACCTATGAGTTAATGAGTAAGAACAGGTAAGACAGGTGTGAGGACATACCTATAGGCGTAATCATCCGCTCGACAGTGAGGAAGGCAGCCAGGTTAGCGGTGTAGGAGGAGATGATGATGAGAGTGAAGAACCACCAGATGCCGCCCACTATCCTCGTCGACGCCGCCTGCAGGTACACACACACACACACACACACCGTAACATTGATATTATTAAACAGTTTATGATAACAGTTGCAGCTGGGGGTGTTATAATGAACATTGAAGCATAACATGAGGGGGTTTAATATGTTGTTCTTTATGTTTATTGACTAGAAGGGTGTTATGGTATTACATTCGTGGAGAACTAATTTTGTTCTTCGTGTTCACTGAAGTGTTTATCTTGTGTTCTAGACAATAGGTATTCAGGGTTTAAAGGTGTTCAAGGCCACAGATGTTCTAAATTACAGGTGTTCTAGGCCACATGTGGTGTAGGTTACAGGTGTTCTAGGCCACAAGTGTTCTAGATCACAGGTGTTGTAGGTTACAGGTGTTCTAGGTCACAGGTGTTCTAGGGCACAGGCGTTCTAGGTCACAGGTGTTGTAGGTTACAGGTGTTCTAGGTCACAGGTGTTCTAGGTCACAGGTGTTGTAGGTTACAGGTGTTCTAGGTCACAGGTGTTCTAGGTCACAGGTGTTCTAGGGTACAGGTGTTTTAGGTCACAGGTGTTCTACTGAGGTCACAGGTGTTCTAGGTCACAGGTGTTCTAGGTCACAGGTGTTCTAGGTCACAAGTGTTCTAGGTCACAGGTGTTCTAGGTCACAGGTGTTCAAGGCCACAGGTGTTCTAGGCCACAGGTGTTCTAGGCCACAGGTGTTCTAGACCACAGGTATTCAGGTAACCATCTTTTAAACACCAGTTGTCCAGGTAACAGGTGTCTTAAATATCCTCTTAAGTATTAAAACACCTGGCACCTTAACACCCATCAGCTGGAGGCAACACTTGTTTCTCAAATACTAGAGGAAAAATACTAATTCGTTCCATTAGGCAGGTACAACAGGTATTAGGAGGTCATTAAGGCGACCATTACGTGTGTGTGTGTGTGTGTGTGTGTGTGAAGGAAGAAGGGTATGTCACCTCAGGCACCACACACAAACAACAACCACAACAACAACACTACAAGTTACCATAGAGACAGTGTAAGCACCCGTGATCACTGCAGAACGCTAAGATGACAGCAACATCATGGCAAAAAATGGCAACGCGACTCTACTACTGGCTGGCTGACTGGCAAAAAATATAAAATAAATAAAATCAAGTCATGCATCTACCAAGCTTATGTCCAAGAGAGGGTTCGATTATCGTCAGGTCTGATGTCAAGGAGCTCTGACGTCATCGATGTAAATAAAGAGATGTGGTATACGAACTCATTTTCTTTTCTCGTGATTTTTGTTCCCTGTTAAATATTTTTACGCCTACTTAAATTTTTTTGTGTATACTTAAATTTCATGGTGTTTATTATTATTATTATTATTATTATTATTATTATTATTATTATTATTATTATTATTATTATTATTTTATTAAGTTTTGACGTCAGACCAGCTTGTTACATGCTTATATTTGCCTTAAACACGTCAAAGAAAGGCTGTCTGCAATACCGGATAAACGGGAGTCAACAAGACGTGAAGTGGAGGAAGATTAGACAGCCAGATATAGAAGTCACGTGTGAGGAGACAGGTGTGTGGTGAGTCTCGTTATTAATAAAACTCACATATGAGAAGTCGTGCACAGGTCACATGTCTTGTAGACTATATGTATATCTGAATCACTTTACACACACACACACACACACACACACACACAACACACACACACACCTGGCTCTATGAAGTAACAATGTCTGTACAGGTGTTACGTTTTTAGATGGAGAGGATGGAGGAGGAGGAGGAGGAGGGAAGTTTTAGCAGGCTATACACACACACACACACACACACACACACACACACACACACACACACACACCTGATCCAGCGTTAATTAACAGGTCCCAGAGCAGCACTTGAGGGGCGTATAACCGAGAGGAGATAAGAGAACAGGTGAACAAGGTGCTTACAATCTCTATGGCACATACAGGTAGGTACCCGACGTAGGCAAGACACCGTCAAGGGAGAGAGCATTGTAAAGGTAAAAAAACACGAGACAGACAGACAGAGAGACAGACACACCACAGAGGAGAGACAGAAACAAGCACAAGGAATAAATACATACATGAGGGCAGCAAGGGAGGAGGAGGGAGGGAGGAGGAGGGAGGAGGAGGAGGAGGAGGAGGAGGAGGAGGAGGAGGAGGAGGAGGAGGAGGAGGAGGAGGAGGAGGAGGCTAGTAGGAAGAAGAGCAGGATTAATAAGAGAGGGAGAAGGAAGAAGAGGAGGAGGTATAACAAGGGAGGAGGAGGAAGAAGAAGAGAAGGAGGATAGTAGGAAGAAGAACAGGATTGATAAGAGAGGGACGAAGAAGAACAACAACAATAAGAAGAAGAAGAAAAAGAAGAAGAAGAAGAAGAACAAGAAGAAGAAGAATAACAATAAGAAGAACAAGAACAAGAACAACAACAACAACAATAACGACAACAACAATAAGAACAAGAAGAAGAAGAACAAAAGCAAGAAGAACAAGAAGAACAAGAAGAAAGACGAAGACTTGAAAAACTATGACGAATATTTATATTAACATTCAAAACACGAATCCTTCAATAATTTCCTGGGCTAAGTCTTCTCTCAAATTGTCGCCTTGAGAATGTATCAAACAAACTCACTTAGACTCTCGTTACTAACTCAAAAATTACGTCACTAACTCAAAAATCAAGTCACTAACCCAAAACTTACATCAGTAACTCAAAACTCACGTCACTAACCCAAAACTTACATCAGTAACTCAAAACTCACGTCACTAACTCAAAACTTACGTCACTAACTCAAAACTCACATCAATAACTCAAAACTCACGTCACTAACTCAAAACTTACGTCACTAACTCAAAACTTACGTCACTAACTCAAAACTCACGTCACTAACTCAAAACTCACATCAGTAACTCAAAACTCACATCACTGACTCAAAACTTACGTCACTAACTCAAAGCTCACGTCACTAACTCAAAACTTACGTCACTAACTCAAAACTCACATCAGTAACTCAAAACTCACATCACTAACTCAAAACTCACGTCACTAACTCAAAACTCACATCAGTAACTCAAAACTCACGTCACTAACTCAAAACTTACGTCACTAACTCCAAAACTCACGTCCTGCTCAAAACTCACGTCACTAACTCAAAACTCAAAATACTAACTCAAGCTCACGTCACTAACTCAAAACTTACGTCACTAACTCCAAAACTTGCGTCACTAACTCAAAACTTGCGTCACTAACTCCAAGCCTGCGCCACTAACTCAAACTCACATCAATAACTCAAAACTCACGTCACTAACTCAAGGCTTGATAAAACTCCAAAACTTACGTCACTAACTCCAAAACTCACGTCTCACTAACTTACGTCACTAACTCAAAACTCACATCAGTAACTCAAAACTCATCACTGACTCAAAACTTACGTCACTAACTCAAAACTCACGTCACTAACTCAAAACTTACGTCACTAACTCAAAACTCACATCAGTAACTCAAAACTCACATCACTAACTCAAAACTCACGTCACTAACTCAAAACTCACATCAGTAACTCAAAACTCACGTCACTAACTCAAAACTTACGTCACTAACTCAAAACTCACGTCACTAACTCAAAACTCACGTCACTAACTCAAAACTCACGTCACTAACTCAAAACTTACGTCACTAACTCAAAACTTACGTCACTAACTCAAAACTTACGTCACTAACTCAAAACCTACGCCACTAACTCAAAACTTACGTCACTAACTCAAAACTCACGTCACTAACTCAAAACTCACGTCACTAACTCAAAACTCACGTCATTAACTCAAAACTCACGTCACTAACTCAAAACTCACGTCACTAACTCAAAACTCACGTCACTAACTCAAAACCAAGGTCAAATTTAGCTACCGAATTACCTTAATTACATACGTTCTCTGAAGTCAGTTTAGTTGAATAAATGAACGTAGGAACGATGGAAGAAATGGGTCCAGTTGGTGATTGTCATGCGTATGTGTTTAGTGATAGTGAGGGAGGGAAGGTAGGTGAGGGAAGGTGAGGGAGACAGGGAGGGTAAGGTGAGGGGGAAAGGGAGGGTAAGGTAAGGGAGAAAGGGAGGGTAAGGGAGACAGGGAGGGTAAGGTGAGGAAAAGGAGAGGAGTAAGGAGTAAGAAAAGGGAGGAGTAAAGGAGACCAAAGGGGAGGGAGTAAGGTGTGAGGGAGAAAAGGGAGAGGTAAGGTGAGAAGAAAAGGGAGGGTAAGGTAAGGGAGAAAGGGAGGAGGGTAAGGGAGATAGGGAGGAGGGTAAGGTGAGGGAGAAAGAGGGAGGGTAAGGTAAGAGGAGAAAGGGAGGGTAAAGGGAGACAGGGAGGGTGGGTGAGGGGAAAGGGAGAATAGGTGAGGAAGAAAGGAAGGTAAAGGGGAGACAGGGAGGGAGTAAGGTGAGGAAGAAAGGGAGGGTAGGTAAGGAGAAAGGGAGGGAGTAAGGGAGGGAGGAGTGAAGGAAGGTGAAGTAGTGAGAGAGGATGGTGAGTGAAGGTAAGAATTTCAGAAAGAGGGTGAGGCGTGAGGGGTCGTGGAGGGGTGAGGGAAGGAGTGAAACAGGAGGAGGAGGAGGAGAGAATGAGGAAGGAGGAGTATTGGGAGAAGAAAGGTGATGGAATAACAGGCTTAGAAAGGTGAGAAAAGGAGGGTTGAAGACGAGAGGAGGAGGAGGCTTTGGCACTTAACCATTCACCTCTGCCCCTCGGAACCTCAAAAGCCTTTATCCTCACTTCACCTCCAAAAGGGTACACATGGTTTCATTTTTACCCGATGGACTCTCTCTCTCTCTCTCTCTCTCTCTCTCTTTCTCTCTCTCTCTCTTTATTACTTGCTTCTTACTGCTTTTAGACCTACAGACGTACTTTATGAACGATGTTCCTCACACACACACACACACACACACACAAGGGTGCAAGAAAAGGTACCGTATCAACTCTAAAACCATGATACTACCCCCTTAAACCCTTGATATCACCCCTTAAACCCCTGATATAGTCCCTCAAACCAAACCAGATCCCTTAAACTCCTGATACAACCCCTTAAACCAAACCGTAATCCTTAAACCCATGATATAAACCCTTTAACCCCAGATACGACCCCCCCCTTTAAACCCCTAGATAAAACCCCTTAAACCCCGGAGATATGACCCACCTTTCTTAAGAACCTTCGCCAGCATACATGATATTTCCCAGAGGGTCATAAGTCGCCTCTATTAAACAAAAGAATTTAATATAAACTCCCTAGAAAAAAAAATCTAAAATATTTCCATTTGTTTTTTATTTTTCTTATTTTTTTTTACTAATACAATATTTTTTCAATTTTTTTTGTTTACTAAGAAAATTAAAACAGTGAATTTAGGTCCAAATTTTTGTTTTATTATTTTTTACTGATAATATTTTTTTTTCACATATTTTGTCTATTAATAAAATAAAAAATAAATTTAAGAATGTAAAAAAAAAGAATTAGTGAAGTATCGAATGATTGAAAAAGAAAATAACTGAAATAAATTGAAAAATAACGAAAAAATGAATGAAAACAAAAGAAAAACAAACGCGATCTAACAAAAAAAAATTACTTACTCACAATTTTCTCCCAGTACATTCTTCTCATTCATCTATTTACACTTTTATCAATTCTCTTTATTCCTTCATTTTATTATTCATTATTCTTGTCTTATTCATTATTATGTTTTGAGGTTAGAATGATGGTGAGAGTGTGTGAAGTGGACCACGAGAAGAGAGGGAGGAAGGGCATGCACAAGAGGAAGAGGAGGAGGAGGAGGAAGAGGAGAAAGAAGAGGAGGAAGTGAGAAGAGAGGGAGTGAGAAGAGAGTGAGGAAGTGAGAAGAGAGAAGAGAGGGAGGGCATGCACAAGAAAGACAAGGGGAAGGGGAAGAGGAGGAGGAGGAAGAGGACGTAGAGGAACAGGAAGATGAACAGTAGGAGAAAAGGAAAAAAATAGGAAAAAGAGAAAGACGAAGAGAAGCAGGAAGAAGAGGAGGGAAAGAAGAAGAAGAAGAATAGGAAGAGATGGAGGAAGAGATGGAGCAAGAGAAAAAGAGGAAGAACAGGGGGGAGTAGGAGCAGCGAGACAAGAAGAGGAAAAAGAGGAGGAGGAGGAGGAGGAGGAGGAGGAGGAGGAGGAGAAGAAGAATACACAAGAAGAAGAAAAATAAGAGGAAAAGGAAGATCATGCAGGGTACACAAGCTTCTGCAGTGACAATCTTGAGGTGCTCACCCGTCGGGGGCATCTCCCTCACCCACCTCCTTCACCCACTCCACCAACACATGCCGTAACCGTCCTCTCAGCCTCACGTTAGTTCTCTTCTCTCTACAGGTGTTAGTGGACTGTACAGGTGTTAGTGGACTGTACAGGTGTTAGTGGACTATACAGGTGTTAGTGGACTGTACAGGTGTTAGTGGACTGCACAGGTGTTAGTGAGGTTCAGGAGGCGGCGTGGTGGTGGTGGTGGTGGTGAGGGTGACGCCCCCGACGGCCAGTCTCCACAGTACCTTGGGGTTGAGGTCGGACCCCTGCTGCATGAGGGTGCCGATGGTGAACCAGAAGGAGTTGCTCAGCGTGAAGTCGTTCTCCATGAACTCTCTGTTGTGGTAGCAAGGGCCGGGGAGGTGCCACTCGTACGGGGAGAACCTGGCCACGATGTAGATGGTAGTGGAGACGACGACGTAGGCAACCAGGATGTAGAGCCATATTTCTATTGCCAGGGGGTTCATGAAGGAGAACAGCTGGGTAGGGACTCTCTGGGGTACCTAGCCAGAGGGGGGCAGGGGGAGAGGTAACCAGTCTAAGATACAAGTGACTTTGTTTACATACTGTACAGTGTGGGGAGGGGGGGGAGAGGAGGAGGTGTATAAGGTGAGGGTGTAGCAATGCCTTCTACGTCGCTGCTGCTACTCCGGGATCTCTCTGGGCTGGAAACATTGCAAGTTAGTGAAGACGAGGACATTCTGTGTTTGTTGTTGTTCTTCCGGCAGTTTATACAAAGTTGAGGACACTGACTCCATTATGACTGACCCTCCAGATATGAGATGCATCATGTTAAAGCAACTCCGCCATGAACACAACACAGAATATCCTCCGTCTGACTGACCTGCTGGCGGCACTGTACCTTGGGGTTAAGACCGGAGCCCTGGCGGAGCAGCGTCCCCGTGATGAACCAGAAGGAGTTGCTCACACTAAACTGGTTCTCCACCACGTCACTCTCGGCGTTACAGGGATGCGGGTTGTTCCACTCGTAGGGGGAAAACCTGGCCATGACGAACATAGTGAAGGAGACGAGAACGTAGGCGGCCAGAACGTAGAGCCAGATCTCCACCGCCAGCGGGTTCATGAAGGAGAAGAGACGCGTGGGCTGGCTCGTGGGGATCTGAGTTACAGGTGAAGGCAGAGCCAGGTGAGAGCAGGAGTCAGCAGCACTCTAGGAGGACCACCTCAAAAACACCCACCAGGGAGGGACACACACACACACACACACACACACACACACACACACACACACACACACACACACACACACACACACACACACACACGATCACTGGTTCCACTCCCGTACACTAGTACAGGGTCAGAATCTACCTGTACCACTGTTACCTGTCGTCATCACCTGCACGTGTAATTAAGTAAAAAATCACACACCTGACAGAGGCATCCACTTATCCTTATCACTATCTATCTATTTATCTATTTATCTATCTATCTATATATCTATCTATCTAATTATCTATCTATCTATGTCACAAAAAGGTTTAACTTATTTAGAATTTAATCTTAGTTTAATCTTAATATACAAATATAGGTTTATATATCAACAGTACTGTACTGGATCTGTGATTCCCAGATTCCCTTCAATGTTTATATACAACCCCGTCATATAGAATGTTTATCTATAAGCCCGTCATATAGAATGTTTATATACAACCCCGTCATATAGAATGTCTATATATAACCCCGCCATAGAGAATGTCTATATATAACCCCGCCATAAAGAATGTTTATATATAACCCCGCCATAAAGAGTTGTAATCCACCGCAACAGAGCCACAGCAAACACACGGCGCGGCGTCTCATCTTAGCTCCGGGATTCACACGAACGTATCATACTTAATTCCCATCCTGCTGCTGGCGAGCCGCTGGGTCAACACACACACCACGGCCTCATCTTCCGCCTCAGCACGCCAGCGACACGGGGGAACAAGGCCAATACCTGTTAGTTTAGCTAAATGGAATTCTCTGAGTCAATATTAACTTGTGCGAGCTTCAGCGAACACCATTCAGTCGTCAACAGTTTTGAGGGTCAGAGGAGAACTTTGGCAGACTCGGGCGGGCAACAGGCGGCCAGGGATTCAACACTACTCAGCTGAATCCGTTATCTTGCGAGTTCTTATCCAGGGAGAATATATGTCACCTGAGAGTCGTTATCCAGGGAGAATATATATCACCTGAGAGTCGTTATCCAGGGAGAATATATATCACCTGTGAGTTGTTATCCAGGGAGAATATATATCACCTGAGAGTCGTTATCCAGGGATAATATATATCACCTGTGAGTTGTTATCCAGGGAGAATATATATCACCTGAGAGTTGTTATCCAGGGAGAATATATATCACCTGTGAGTTGTTATCCAGGGAGAATATAACCACAAGGTACTGTCATGACCCAGTGTAGGTTGATAGCCCAGACGGTCTCCACCAGGTAAACAAACAGTACTTGAGGTACTTCACCGATCAGTGAGGCGAAAAACTTTATTATCCTACTTATCAAACCACGACTTCAGCCACAGTCTATAAAGTTTCAGGAATAGGAATACTGTAATACCTTTAGATACATGAACCCTCTGTATCGAGAATCTCATTTGACTTAGGCCACTTTGAAGTTTGTTTATATAAAGGCGGAGTAGCATGTGTTTTTTTTTTTTTTACAGAAGGAACAAAGTATCGTCCTGTGGTATGCCAGTCCAGAACCCTATGGCAAATACCTCTATCTATGCAAGTGATTTTATACATCTTAACTAATTCACTATGATATCTATACCATCAAGGGTCTTCAATAGTGTAGAAACTATCCCCAGAGAAAATATTACACCTCAGATCATTTGCATATAGACTTGCATCAAGAAAAAAAGGAAAAAAAATGTTTTTAATTTTTTTGTTTTTATGCTGGTCTGTGTCATCTAATGTGGGTTTAATTTGTAAAGATAACATGGCGGGTATTGACATCATCCACAGTAAAGAGTTCAACGCACGGAAGAGGAAGAGGAAGCTGAGAAGGAGACAGAGTAGGAGTGAGAGCAGTGGGAAGTGGAGGAGGTAGACGAAATTTAAGAGGAGGAAGAGGAGAAAGAAGAGATTGAAGAGGAAAAAGAGGTGGCGGAAGAACATGAACAAGAAGAAAGCACCACGAGAAAGCCACACCCACTCCCCCCCCCCAAAAAAAAAAATACTAAATAAAAATAAAACTGCACAGGAAAAAACCCCTCTATGATAGATTTCTTCCCTTAAGTGAGGCTTCATGCTGAAAGACAGATTCTCATTTTACGGCGAGAGAGCCTTCCACCTTGACATACTATATTAAAAACCAACACTCACACAGAACCTGCACTTTGAGGTCCAATCATCAAAGAGCCTCAGAGGAGCTAAGAAATTTTCCATTAGACTCACTGAAAAGGAAGAGGCAGAAGCAGGAGGAGGAGGGGGGGGGGAGGAAGAGGAGGAGGGAATGACCTAGTGAATACGGTGATTGAGAAAGTGACATGTTAATTGACCTCGATTAGGGTACGTTAAGTTAATTCGTTATACGTCAACGTGTTGATTCGTTATACGTCAACGTGTTGATTCGTTATACGTCAACGTGTTGATTCGATATACGTAAACACACAAAAATATGTAAATTATATAAAAATAAAAGTAAGTGAAATATGGGTAGATATGACCGTAGAGTTTATTCAAATGTCTTCATCTCTGTCTCTCTGTATCTCTATCTATATATCTGTCTGTCTGTCTGTCTGTCTATCTGTCGGTCTATCTGTCTGTCTGTCTGTCTGTCTGTCTGTCTGTCTGTCTGTCTGTCCGCCCTTCTAGGCCGAAGCAGCAATCCTCATCAGTCTACGTAAATCACGAGGTAGCTGCCATGAATCACTTTATATTGTGGGTGAGGCACGAGTCAATCTCTCTCTCTCTCTCTCTCTCTCTCTCTCTCTCTCTTCTCTTTTTTTCTCCTTCACACATCACTACCTATCGCCCATTTAATCTTTCTCACATCTTTTCCTCCCATTCTTCGTTGCACCTCATTCCTCACTATCCCCCTCTCCCTCCCCCCCCTCGTCCCCCGCCTTCATAGTTCATTGGTCACCGACTTTCCCCAAAATGTCCCAAGCTTTCCCCAATAAACCCCACCCCCCAAAAAAATCATTGCCTTTATCCCAAAATAACACAATAATTCCCCCCAAAAGTCATCAGATTTCCCCAAAATAGACCCCCAAAATACATCATCAGGGGTTTCCCATCACAAAACAGTTCATCAGCTGCCTAAGTAAGGACTGACTGTTGATACTGTGTTGAGGACCCCTGGTGACCACACACACACACACACACACACACACACACGCACACACACACACACACACACACACACACACACACACACACACACACAAACAACTGTGTGTGACCAATAAAATCTCTCTCTCTCTCTCTCTCTCTCTCTCTCTCTCTCCCTCTCTCTCTCTCTCTATCCATCTTTCTAACCTCTCACGTGTCCCTCATCCGTCACTCAACCCCCCCCATCACTACCAGCCAGTCACTCACCCCTCTTATCACCTCCGTCACTCACCCTTCCACTATCCCGTTCCATCACCCTGTCCCTCACGAGGCCTGGAGTAGAGGGGCCGACGGAAGTGAAGGAGGGATGGGAGGGGAGGAGAGACGATTTGAGGGTCCTGCCAGGTTTGGGCTATTGGCTTAGGAATGGGACACTTTAAATACCTCTCTCTCTCTCTCCTCTCTTCTCCCTTTTTCTTCCTCTTTATCCCCCTCTTCTCCTTTTTCTAATCTCTTTTATTGCTTCATTTTATCCCCCTTTCCTTCTCTTCCCCTCCTTCTCCTTCTCTCCTCCTTCCCCATTCTGTTTTCCCTATTTTTTTCTCTTCTGTCCTTCTTACTTCCCTTTTTCTTTGTTTCCTTCCTCTTCGTTCCCTCCCCCTATTCTCCCTCCTCCTTCTCATTGCTCTTCTTCTGTCCTCCCCTCACCGTTATCATCATCATTCTTCTTTATCTTCATTACCACCTCCTTTTCCTCTTCCCCCTTTCCTCTCGTCCTTCTCTCCCCCTCATCACCTCTCATCTTTCCCCTTCTCTCCACCCCTTCCTCCTACCTTTATCTCCATCTCTCCTCCTCCAATCCTTTCACGCCTCATCACCACCACCACCTCCGGCTCCTCCCCCCCCCCATTAGGTTCAAACAAGGGGACCCTCACATACCTGACCACCGCCTAATTCTCTTAAGCCGAAAAATTAGGCCCCAGCTATCTCATTGAAAATTCCTGCCAACTCCTGACTCTCTCTCTCTCTCTCTCTCTCTCTCTCTCTCTCTCTCTCTCCTCTCTCTCTCTCTCTCGTTCTTTTGTTCTTCTGACATAACCGTGAAGAACTGTTCTACCTTTCATTTTTGTTTTCCATATGAAGTCTAATTAATTATCTACCTTATTATCTAAAGATGCTTAAAATATAATTAATTACCTGAAATAATCACAGACGAATTAGTTATACACCCAAACATCATTATTATTATCATCATTATCATCATCGTCATTATTACACAAAAATATTAACAAATTATACAAATGACATGTTAAATATAATTAATTACTTTATCCTCATGCAGTAATTAATTCATATATAAACCATAGTTATAGAGGGTAAAATAACTATACCATATAATCATTAAGGTACATAAAATAATCATAGCTAGTAAACCAATCCTTTAGCTTAGTAATTATATAGTAGATGAAACTAACCTTACAAAATATACAATTATTTTTTTTTGTAAATGATTATATATATTTAATAATTATAGCTCCCCTAATCATGCATAGTTCATAATTATAGACAGGTATTAGTGATATCACCTGGACGAATAAACTTAATAAATTATGGACGAGTTCACCTGGACGAAAAAAAAATCAATTATACACAAGATCACCTGGACGTTTAAAAATAACTAATTATAGGCAAGATTACCTGGGCGTATAATCCAACACAACATTTTCACCTTAAACAAATATATAACTCATGCCTGACACCTGAGCCAAGACAAAGAGGTGATAAGTTTCCTTCACCTGACACTCACCTGAATATATAAGGAGTCTTAGCGAGTCTTATTTTCATGCCCGGAATTCAGGTAAGGGAGGGAAGGAGGGAGGGAAGGTGAGAGGGAGGTGTGGGAGGGGGGGGGTGGGGTGAAATAGGGAGGGAAGTAGGGAGGGACGGATGGGGTTGGTTGGAAGACTCGGAAAGGAGTCTTACCTGGTATTAGATAATTAAGAGTCTTACCTGGTGACTAACCTTACCCACCCACCCTGACTAACTCACTACATTCCCATTGACTGACTCACCACAGTCTTCCTGATTGACTCACTACATTCTCCGTCAGACTCACCACACACCCTGACTCATCAGACTCCCCTGACTGACTCACCACCCCGACTCACCTTAAAGAGAATAGAGATGCCGAGGTTCATGAAAGGTTTGGTAAAGTCGATCACACTCTCCCTGGCATAGTTGATCGTCATAGAGCCCACAGCCAAGTCAGCCTTCTGCAGGAGGGAGCAACAGCAGCAGCAGGAGGAGGAGGGAAGAGACGTAGGTTAGATAAATGATACCTGATCGTTGAGGTAATTTCTGGGGATAATACCTGTCTTTTTCGGGGGTACTTTCTGGGGTAACTCTTTTTACGGGTACTTTCTGGGACAATAAATGTGTTTTGAGGGTAATTTCTGGGGTTAATATAATCCCTAATTTATACTTTTTTTTTCTGGGGGGTGTAATTTTAGGGGTTAATTAATATTTTTTGGAGGTATTCAGGGGTAAATATCTGTCTTTAATGATCAAGTTCTCTAAATAACACCTGTCTTACCGAAAGTTCTCTAAATAACACCTGTCTTACCTAAAGTTCTCTAAATAACACCTGTCTTACCTAAAATTTTCTAAATAACACCTGTCATACCTAAAGTTCTCTAAATAACACCTGTCTTACCTAAAGTTCTCTAAATAACACCTGTCTTACCTAAAGTTCTTTAAATAACACCTGTCTTACCTAAAGTTCTCTAAATAACACCTGTCATACCTAAAGTTCTCTAAATAACACCTGTCTTACCTAAAGTTCTCTAAATAACACCTGTCTTACCTAAGGTTCTCTAAATAACACCTGTCTTACCTAAAGTTCTCTAAATAACACCTGTCTTACCTAAAATTCTCTAAATAACACCTGTCTTACCTAAAGTTCTCTAAATAACACCTGTCTTACCTAAAGTTCTCTAAATAACAACTGTCTTACCTAAAGTTCTCTAAATAACACCTGTCTTACCTAAAATTCTCTAAATAACACCTGTCTTACCTAAAGTTCTCTAAATAACACCTGTCATACCTAAAGTTCTCTAAATAACACCTGTCTTACCTAAAGTTCTCTAAATAACACCTGTCATACCTAAAGTTCTCTAAATAACACCTGTCTTACCTAAAGTTCTCTAAATAACACCTGTCATACCTAAAGTTCTCTAAATAACACCTGTCTTACCTAAAGTTCTCTAAATAACACCTGTCTTACCTAAAGTTCTCTAAATAACACCTGTCTTACCTAAAGTTCTCTAAATAACACCTGTCATACCTAAAGTTCTCTAAATAACACCTGTCTTACCTAAAGTTCCCTAAATAACACCTGTCTTACCTAAAGTTCTCTAAATAACACCTGTCTTACCTAAAGTTCTTTAAATAACACCTGTCTTACCTAAAGTTCTTTAAATAACACCTGTCTTACCTAAAGTTCTTTAAATAACACCTGTCTTACCTAAAGTTCTCTAAATAACACCTGTCTTACCTAAAGTTCTCTAAATAACACCTGTCTTACCTAAAGTTCTCTAAATAACACCTGTCTTACCTAAAGTTCTCTAAATAACACCTGTCATACCTAAAGTTCTCTAAATAACACCTGTCTTACCTAAAGTTCTCTAAATAACACCTGTCTTACCTAAAGTTCTCTAAATAACACCTGTCTTACCTAAAGTTCTCTAAATAACACCTGTCTTACCTAAAGTTCTCTAAATAACACCTGTCTTACCTAAAGTTCTCTAAATAACACCTGTCATACCTAAAGTTCTCTAAATAACACCTGTCTTACCTAAAAGTTCCTAAATAACACCTGTCTTACCTAAAAGTTCTCCTAAAATAACACCCTGTCTTACCTAAAGTTCTTTAATAACACCTATACTTTACCTAAAGTTCTTTAAATAACACCTGTCTTACTACAAGTTCTTTAAATAACACCTACCATCTTACCTAAAGTTCTCCTAAAATAACACCTGTCTTACCGAAAAGTTCTCCTAAATAACACCTGATGTCTTACCTAAAGTTCTCCTAAATAACACCTGTCTTTTCAAGTTCTCTAAATAACTTACCTGTCTTACACAAAGTTCTACTCTAAGCCACACCTGTCATACCTAAAGTTCTCTAAATAACACCTGTCTTACCTAAAGTTCTCTAAATAACACCTGTCTTACCTAAAGTTCTCTAAATAACACCTGTCTTACCTAAAGTTCTTTAAATAACACCTGTCTTACCTAAAGTTCTTTAAATAACACCTGTCTTACCTAAAGTTCTTTAAATAACACCTGTCTTACCTAAAGTTCTCTAAATAACACCTGTCTTACCGAAAGTTCTCTAAATAACACCTGTCATACCTAAAGTTCTCTAAATAACACCTGTCTTACCTAAAGTTCTCTAAATAACACCTGTCTTACCTAAAGTTCTCTAAATAACACCTGTCACCTAAAGTTCTCTAAATAACACCTGTCTTACCTAAAGTTCTCTAAATAACACCTGTCATACCTAAAGTTCTCTAAATAACACCTGTCATACCTAAAGTTCTCTAAATAACACCTGTCTTACCTAAAGTTTTCTAAATAACACCTGTCTTACCTAAAGTTTTCTAAATAACACCTGCAATAAACACTACAACTACCACCAAGCACTACATAACAACAACTACAACAACTACAACAACAACAACAACAACCCGGCTTTAGTGACTTACCGTGTTGTAGAACCTCTTTTAAGTGAACTTCCTCATTCATTTATAACTAATATTTTCTCCCTAACTCACCATTTCATCCGTGATTTATTCCCTCCCTGACTCACTATACCCTCCCTGACTCACTATACCCTCCCTGACTCACTATACCCTCCCTGACTAAATATTTCCTCCATAATTCAACAAACCCTCCCTTATTCATCTTAACTATCAGCTCCCTGACTCAACTTGACTCATAACTGCCTCCTTGACTCATTATACCCTCCCTGACTCACCATACCCTGCCTGACTCACCACTCCCTGACTCACCATACCACTCCCTGACTCATCATACCCTCCCTGATCACCACTCCCTGACTCACCATGCCCTCCCTGACTCACCATACCCTCCCTGATCACCACTCCCTGACTCACCATACCCTCCCTGACTCACCTTATCTATGAGCTCCCTGACTAAGCCGTTCCACTCGCCAGTCTCAGTATCAATAATGCCATATAAGCCATCACCAGACAGCTCGATCTGGTACTCAAAGCCGGCCATGGTGGAGACGTAGGCGATCAAATCCACACAGAACCCCTCGAAGCGGCCGTTCCCCGTCAGGTTCTTGGATTGTTTGGTCATGACGAAGGGTGTCTCCTACAGGGTGACCACAGGAGGGAGGGAGAAGGTATAAGGGAGAATGCATAAGGGAGAGATAATGCGAGATATAATGTGTTGAAGGATTAAGCTACTCGTTCTATGCTGTAAATGTGTTGGGTTTTTTTACTAAATTTACTTGTGGTTTCTGGTTTTATTATGTTATTTATTTGGGATTTGTGAGGTTGTTATCTATGCGTTTTCTAAAGGGTATCTAGTGTGGTGATTTATTTATTTATTTATTTATTATTTTGGTTTCTATTCGTTTAGTCTACCATTGGTGTAAAAGTTATCTAAGAGTTTTCTATCAGTTAACATTTTTTTTTTTTTGGTTTCTAATTGTTTATACCACATACCACCCCCTCCCCTCATACACCTGTTGCTTACCAGTTCAAAGATGTTACTTGTTCCTACGTATCATAGGTTGTTACTTAATACTTGTTGTTACTTGGTGCTACTTGGCGTTACTCTGTGCTACCTGTTGTTACTTGGTGCTATACGGTGCTACTTGGCGTTACTCGGTGCTACTTGTTGTTACTTGGTGCTACACGGTGCTACTTGGCGTTACTTGGTTTTACTTGCTGCTATTATGTGGAGTACGACTTGTGTAGCAATTCGTCGTCCATGAGTTTGTGACGAGTTTGTGACGGGTTGTGACGGGTTGTGATGGGTTGTTACGTTGTATTACAGTGCCGGTACAGGTGCTACAGTGCTTCAGAGACAAGGCAAGGGGTGTAGTACAGGTGCAGCTTGGGGTAGGGTGTAGGTTTGGATATAGCAAGGTGTAGATTGGGGAAGGTTGCAGGATGGGGAAGGGTGCAGGATGGGGAAGGTTGTAGGATGGGGAAGGTTGCAGGATGGGGAAGGTTGCAGGATGGGAAAGGTTACATGATGGAGAAGGTTGCAGGATGGGGAAGGTTGCATGATGGAGAAAGGTTGCCGGGATGGGAAGGTTGCAGGATGGGGAAGGAATGCAGGATGGGGAAGAAGGGTGCAGGATGGGGGAAAGGTTGCAGGATGGAAGGTTGCAGGATGGGAAGGTTACATGATGGAGAAAGGTTGCATGATGGAGAAAGGTTGCAGGATGGAGAAAGGTTGCAGGATGGGGGAAGGTTGCCCAGGATGGGAAAGGTTGCATGATGGAGAAGGTTGCGGGATGGAGAAGGTTGCAGGATGGGGGAGGTTGCCCGGGATGGGGAGGTTACATGATGATGGAGAAGGTTGCAGGATGGAGGTTGCGGGATGAGGAAGGTTGCGGGATGGGGGAAGGTTGCAGGATGGGGAAGGTTGCGCAGGATGGGAAAAGGTTGCATGATGGAAGGTTGCGGGATGGAGAAGGTTGCAGGATGGGGGAGGGTTGCGGGATGGGGAAGGGGTGCGGGATGGGGGAAGGTTGCAGGATGGGGAAGGTTGCAGGATGGGGAAGGTTGCAGGATGGGAAGGTTACATGATGGAGAAGGTTGCTGCAGGACGAGAGGTTGCATGATGGAGAAGGTTGCAGGATGGGGAAGGTTGCAGGATGGGGAAGAAGGTTGCAGGATGGGGAAGGTTGCAGGATGGGGAAGGTTGCACAGGATGGGGAAGGTTGCATGATGGAGAGGTTGCAGGATGGAGAAGGTTGCAGGATGGGGAAGGTTGCAGGATGGGGAAGGTTACATGATGGGGAAGGTTACAGGTTGGGGAAGGTTGCAGGATGGGGAAGGTTACAGGATGGGGAAGGTTGCAGGATGGGGAAGGTTGCAGGATGGGGAAGGTTGCAGGATGGAGAAGGTTGCAGGATGGGGAAGGTTACATGATGGAGAAGGTTACATGATGGAGAAGGTTGCAGGATGGGGAAGGTTACAGGATGGGGAAGGTTACATGATGGGGAAGGTTACATGATGGGGAAGGTTACATGATGGAGAAGGTTGCAGGATGGAACGCCTATGTGTTGTGGTCATCAGCGGCATCCTGAAGGAGTTCCCGGAAGGTTCCTTAACTCGCAGGACCTGATACCTTCATCTTACTCCTACAGCGCCAACAAGTCCTCAAAGGATTTTACATAACCTTAACTACCGTACGTTGTCAAATTGGTGTAGTCTTCGTAACTACTCATAAGCGCTTTGTTACGTCATTACCCTGTTACCAACACTAACCTAACCAACCACAATCAGCGAAGTACTAACTATTACAATTACAACCACACCCACTCAACATCATTACTACTAGCCTAATGTACAACCGCTACTACCAGCATCAACTACAACCACCACCACTACTACCAGCGTCAACTACAACCACCACCACCACTACAACCACCACCACTACAACTACCACTACTACCAGCCTCAATTACCCCCACCGCTATTACCAGCATCAACTATAACCACCACCACTACAACCACCACCACCACTACTACCAGCCTCAACAACCACAACTACCACAACCTTATCCATGATCGACTTGACCAGGCCGTCCCATTCCTCGGTAGTTTCGTTGTAAGTGCCGTATCTACCGTAAGGCTGGACGGTGATATCAAAGTTGAAGCCCACCATCCCTGCCAGGTGTTCCAATAGGTCGATACAGAACCCGTAGAAGCGAGCGTTACCTGTGATGTTCTTCTGCGTGTGTACTATCACGTAGGGCGGCTCCTGTAGAAGGCGGTGAAGGAGGGAGGAAGATGGTGGTTATAGAATCGTTCCTGTTAGATGTTTATCCATTTCATCTACAGTATATCCCTTGGTGTCTTCTGTCTACATAACGTGACGTAAGGCGGCATCCCGTAGAAGGCGGTGAAGGAGGGAAGAGAAGGAAGTAAGGAAGGTAATGGTACAAACGTATTTAAGATATTGATCAACATTACATAACATCACCAACACAATCACACATCCTCACCAACACAACCTCACCAACACAACCTCACCAACACACCATCACCAACACAACCTCACCAACACACCATCACCAACACAACCTCACCAACACACCATCAACAACACAACCTCTCCAACACACCATCACCAACACAACCTCTCCAACACACCATCACCAACACAACCTCTCCAACATCACCAACACAACCTCTCCAACATACCATCACCAACACAACCTCACCAACACACCATCAACAACACAACCTCTCCAACACACCATCACCACAACCTCTCAACACACCACCACCAACACAACCTCACCAACACACCATCACCACAACCTCACCAACACACCACCACCAACACAACCTCTCCAGCACACCATCACCAACACAACCTCTTACCCATAGGCAAATAACACCCTCCTCCCTCCTCCACCCCACAAATTCCTCCATCAAATCCTCCCTCCTCCAACTCTCTATTTCCTCAAACAATCTCCTCTCCATCAATCCTTCCTCCACCTCACCCTCCCCCCCCACCCCAGCTTGTGACGGACACTCGCCCCCCTTAAATCTGACAACATTCAACTGGATGGAGAAAAGTTTATAATTACCTGCCTAACATCGTGGTCCCATCAGCAGGTTAATTAGCGCCGTACTGACCTGTGCTGTGAGTCGAGAATGATACATCACTCTGTTAAATTACCCGCACCAAGGGGCTGTAAAAAAAATATAGCAATGTAGGCGCGCACATGATATACACGCACATACACGGCAGAAAGACGGTCACAAACATACATGCATATACACAAAAGATATAGAGATACATACATACATACATACATACATACATACATACATACATACATACATACATACATGACTCGACAACTTGTCACTACACTCATTAGCGGCGGCCCTTTTCTTGTGTCTTTTGTGTTTCTCCTTCCTTCCTTCATTCCTTCCTTCCTTCTTTCTTTCCTTCTTTATCCTCCTCTTCCCTCCATGTCCCTCTCTCCCTCCCATGGATACAGGTAGGCGGGGTGTGGGCGTGATGGGCGTGGAGGTGATCCAGACACCGCCCTCACGCACACACAATTAAGGTCTCTCTCTCTGCTTCACGATTCCCCACCCCCTCCCCTCCACCAATCACCAATAAACCATGTATGTTACGTCACGGCAATCATTACCCCTCAGGACCAATCAGATACCAAGGGAAACGACTACTCCCCCTCCACTCCACCAATCACCGATAACTAAGTGTGTTACGTCACGTAGAATCATTACCCTCAGGACCAATCAGATGCCAAGAAAGGGGGAAAAAAGGACGAGCTAGGTTGGTGAATTCTCGAGGGCCAAGAAATACGATTATTTTTTTTTTCCCTTAAACAAAAATACAAACTAAAAATTCTCGTTTATTCTAAGATACAAAAAGTTTTCAAGATGGCGTCAAAACTGCTCTGAGACTTTACTATAATTGGATATACTGAAGAAGAAAAAAATATATATAATTGGATACATCACGAGGACGAAAGAATGATAGTAGAGTAATGGATACAAACTAACGCTGAGACTCTATCTATATTAATATATGGACGTGTGTGTGTGTGTGTGTGTGTGTGTGTGTGTGTGTGTGTGTGTGTGTGTGTGTACCAGCCATAACCCAAAAGGGAAGCAGTTAGAGACCTGAAACTTAACACACATATTACAAGGGGTCCCAAGGTTGTGTCACGGTGATTGTGTAAGTATAGTGGCAGGCAGTCAAGGTTACACACACACACACACACACACACACACACACACACACACACACACACACACACACACGCGCGCGCACACACACACACACACACACACACACACACACACACACACACACACACACACACACACAACACTCGTTCCTGTTATTCGAAGATCCGACTAAAGGTACATTCCTGTGTGTGTGTGTGTGTGTGTGTGTGTGTGTGTGTGTGTGTGTGTGTGTGTGTGTGTGTCTGTGTTTGCCTCTCCAACCATTGTGAAGTAAAACAGGGGAACTTAAAACACCGGTCCTGTTTGTTTATACCGAGAGTGTGGATGGTAATGGCTCCTCTCGACACAACAAAACATTTTAAACTGTTTGTTCTGTGTGCATGACTACCAGGAGAAGATGAGAGGCGTACACGGGAAGGCACTCAGGCGGCGGGAGGATGTATGTATGTATGTATGTATGTATGTATGTATGAGAGGAAGGAAGAAGGAGAGGAAGGAAGGAAGGAAGGAAGGAAGGAAGGAGGGAGGGAGGGAGGGGATAGGCTGATGAGGGGAGGGAGGAAAACAGGAGTAGAGAGGTGGGGGGAGAGGGAAAGGAGGGAGGGGAAGGAGGGGGGTGGGATAGGGGTGGGGGGAGGGAGGGAGGAGGGGGTGGAAGGGAGGGAGGGGGGGTGGAAGGAGGGAGGGATTTAATGAAGGGGGGGGTAGGTTGTAAGAGGAAGGAAAGACTTGATAGAGGGAGAAAGAAGGAGGTAGAGGGAAAGGGAGGAAGAGGAGGGAGTAAGAAGGGGTAGAAAGGGGGAAGGAAGGAGGAAGGGGGGAGGGGGTAAATGCTGACCTTAACATGAGATAACGTTTAGAATACCTCACTTGACCTTTTACACACACACACACACACACATTTTTATTCGTTCCTCATCAAGTGTTTACAAAAAAAATCAACATTGAAAAACAAAAAACAAAAAATAAAACAACAAAGATAAACACCATTGTAAGTGCAAACATTTATACCTGGCATTTTGTACCTGTAATTAGTGCTTTACTGATCACCTGTTAATTACCACCAGAAATTAACCCACTAAACCTAACCGTGTTTATTTCTATGTTAAAATTAGTTAAATTCCATAACCCTTTTTTTTAATAAGGTAATTAATTATTTTAGTTATATTGTTAATTTGACGACATATTAATTAGACAGGAATAATTGTATTGTATTTTAATGATTAATTTTAACCGTATCTCGTGAGGTCATTTCTTAACTGGGTGTCGTTATAAGTTGGGCACCAGGGGCTCTATCAGACAGTGTGGACCGAACTCAGGATGTCATAAACACCATCATGGATCTTTATGTTTCCGGCTCAAACAAAAGACGATCTGGCCCACTGTTGAACCCTTTTAGAGAAGGGTTCATGGGTCAGGGGGTTCACTCTGTGTGTGTGTGGGTGTGTGTGTGGGTGTGTGTGTGTGTGTGTGTGTGTGTGTGTGTGTGTGTGATATGGTGAAGTCAAGCATCCAGACGACTAACACCAGATAGGAGACAGTCTGGGTCGTCCTCCATGGGTTGAGGGCCAGTAAACCAGCTATCGAGTAGGGAGAAGGAGGAGGAGGGGAAGAGGAGGAGGAGGAGAGGGGAAGAAGAAAAGGAGGAGGAGGAGGAGGAGGAGGAGGAGGAGGAGGAGGAGGAGTACTAGTGGTTATCGGAGAAAGAATGAACCAGAAAGACCGGACCAGACATACGGACCAAAAAAATATGGACTACGAAGACTGGACCAAAGAGATGATGTATGTATGTATGTATGTATATGTATGTATGTATGTATGTGTATGGTATGTATGTATGTATGAATGTATGTATGTATGTATGTATGTATGATGTATGTATGTATGTGTATGTATGTATGAACAGTATGTATGTATGTATGTATGTATGTATGTATGTATGTATGTATGTATGTATGTATGTATGTACAGTATGTATGTATGTACAGTATGTATGTATGTATGTACAGTATGTATGTATGTATGTATGTATGTATGTATGTATGTATGTATGTATGTATGTATGTATGTATGTATGTATGCGTTTAAGTTAGACATATATTAATTATCATGCCCATAAACCCAATAAAAACCGCAAATCATTAAAAACCGCGAGTCATTAAAAACCGCGAGTCATTAAAAACCGCGAGACACCTGGAAGAGAGGTTTTTAACTACATGATTCACTTAATTAATTAATTACTCATTTAAAAATATGAAGAGTATCTGAAAAAGAACGAGGAAGAGGAGGAGGAGAAGGAGGAGAGGGAGGAAGAAGAGAAGGAAGGGGAGACAACAGCTTCTTACCTCTTCCGTAATAATCTTTAGAAGAAGAAGAAGAAGAAGAAGAAGAAGAAGAAGAAGAAGATCAGAAGGAAGACGAAGAAAATGAAGAGGAGGAAGAGGAGGTAAGAGCCACTCACCTCTATAGTAATAATCTTGAGAGTAATGTTAGGTCGACCGCCATCAAAGAACGCTTGTCTGTCCGTGATGTTGATCTGAGTATCCGGCGTCCACTCTCCCACCTGAGAGAGAGAGAGAGAGAGAGAGAGAGAGAGAGAGAGAGAGAGTCAATTAGTACTAGAATCAATAAATCAATGAATCAGAATCAATATTACTTTATAATAGCAACAATACTCTTATCACACACTACCCACACTTTCTTCCCTCTCACCCACACTTACTTCCCTCTCACCCACACTCACTTCCCTATCACCCACACTTACTTCCCTCTCACCCACACTTACTTCCCTCTCACCCACACTCACTTCCCTCTCACCCACACTCACTTCCCTCTCACCCACACTCACTTCCCTATCACCCACACTTACTTCCCTCTCACCCACACTCACTTCCCTCTCACCCACACTCACTTCCCTCTCACCCACACTCACTTCCCTCTCACCCACACCTGCTTCCCTCTCACCCACACTCACTTCCCTCTCACTCCACTCTGAACCCACACCTGCAAATCTTATGTACACCTGCACAAAGTTTCAGACACACCTGTACCAAGCTTCAACCACACCTGTAGTTTCAGTCACACAGCCAGCCACACTTGTACCAAGCTTTAGCCACACCTGTACCAAGCTTCAGCCACACCTGTGCCAAGCTTTAGCCACACCTGTACCAAGCTTCAGCCACACCTGTACCAAGCTTTAGCCACACCTGAACCAAGCTTCAGCCACACCTGTATCAAGTTTTAGCCACACCTGTAGTCTTACCTTAATTAACTCCTCGTTCCTCAGCTTGAGAACGTCCAGCTTAAAGTTGCTTCTCTTCCCCTCTGTAAACTTGATGGGTCCCGTCAGTCCATCATACTCCACCTGCCCCGGGGACACACAGGTCAAAGGTCAACACGTGCCAAAGGTCAACACGTGTCAAAGGTCACCACGCGACAAAGGTCAACATGTGGCAAAAGTCAACACGTGCCAAAAGTCAACACGTGTCAAAAGTCAACACGTGCCAAAGGTCAACACGTGTCAAAAGTCAACACGTGCCAAAGGTCAACACGTATCAAAGGTCAACACATATCAAAGGTCAACACATGTCAAAGGTCAATACATGGGACTACACAATCTGGGTATTGGCACAAGGTCACACTACAACTAACAGGTCACCGTCAAGTAAGTAATTATCAAGAACATCAGGTATTAAACATCGGTCTATATTTGCAAAAGTCTTCCCTTAATATATAGAAAATGGACTAAACTAACAAACTACAAGTATTATGGCCAAAAATTTATTCCATTATATCCTAAAACAATTTATTATATTATATCCAAAAACACACAGAAAAAAAAATTCACCTTGTCTTAAACTAAATAAAATCGTAAGTTGTATCGTAAGTCAGCTCAATAGCCTCTAAGCCTCATCTGACAGTTAAGAGAAGACGAAAGAAAAAAAAAAACTTATTCTAATTTATTTCATCATGTAAAATATATTCTGATTCGACCAATAAAACTTCCCAAATAAATAAACAAAGATAATAGTTGTCTGAAAGTTACGATATATTTGAGAATTTTCATGGCTTTTCTCCTCCTCTTTTCCTCTTCCCCTCATCTCTCCTTCTTCCCCTCCTTACCTCTCTCCCTTCCTCTCACCTCCCCCATTCTCTTCTCCCCTCCCCCCAACCCATCACCTCTCCTCTCCTACACTACACCTTCCTCCCTCCCTACCTACCTATCCATCTGTCCCATTCCCCTTCACCTCTCCCACTCCCTTCTATACCTATCCTCTTCCAGCTCCCTCTCCTGCCCTCCCTCTCATTCCTCTCCCCCACTTCTTCCACTCTCTTCTCCCACTATTTATCCTCTCTATACCCTCCTCATTTCCTCCCCACCCTCCCACCTCCTCTCTCTCTCTCTCTCCCTCTCCCTCTCCCTCTCCTCCACCAAAACACATCACAACCAAAAAAATACAATAACACTTTCTCTCTCAAAATGCAAATGAGTTGACAACAATAAAAGTCAAAATCGTATAAAACGTCTTATTAAACTTTTTTTTATTATTATTATTTTTTTTTTAACTTCTTTTATCTTTCAGTATCTTCAAAGTTAATATTGGGAGGGGCGTCGAGCAGCTCATTACAGCGGGCAGCATTTAACGAGGAAATGCCCCAGGGAGCTGCTTGCAGGAAATGAGTTTAGAGTGACAGTCTTTGGAGGAGGAATAGTAGTGTGACAGTAACAGTCTTGGAGTAGTGTGACAGTAACAGTCTTGGAGTAGTGTGACAGTAACAGTCTTTGGAGGAGTAACTCAGTAATCTAACTTTTTGGACACAAGAACACATAAAGACAGGTACAAGCAGCCCGTCGAGGGACATGACAACCCTTAACAACCCTTAACAACCCTTAACAGCCCTTAACAACCCTTAACAGCCCTTAACTGCCCTATGAGAAGGTGTAGACGACCCACGAGAGTCTCCCTAACACACCACCATCACCACCGACACAAAATTTGGTTGAGTCACGTGTGGTGGTGATAGTAGTGGTGATGGTAGTAGTAGTAGTAATGGTGGTGGTGGTGGTGGTGGTGGTGGTATGCGGCAATAGGACAGATAACACCCATACCAGCCCCCCCCCCACCACTAGCCCCCTACCACCACCAGCCCCTAGCCCCTCTACCACCACCACCCCCTAGCCCCCTTACCACCACCACCAGCCCCTAGTCCTCCCCACACAGCAGTTATGACTTTGAAGTTGTTATCGAGAGGACGAGTTGGTCTAAGATAACACAACACTAAATTTACTTCCCTCAAAATTTAATATATTCAGCCCCTCATTGTTATTTCCCTCGTGTGTAAAATTACTTAACAAAATTACTTAACAAAATCACTTAACAAAATCACTTAACAAAATAACTTAATAAAATTACTTAACAGAATCACTTAAGAGAATCACTTAGCAAAATCACTTAACAAGGACGAGGATTTTGTTTTCATTCACGAGTATTAAGTAATTTTATTCGTAATTTTTAAGTAATTTTTAAAATATTTTCAGCCTTATATAATGCATATATAAAGATGGCACGAATTGGTGGTCATCTGTGACCTTTTGATAATGGGTAAACTGATGTAACCTAACCTAACCTAACCTAACCTAACCTAACCTAACCTAACCTAACCTAACCTAACCTAACCTAACCAAACCAAACCTAACCTAACCTAACCTAACCTAACCTAACCTAACCTAACCTAACCTAACCTAACCTAACCTAACCTAACCTAACCTAACCTAACCAAACCTAACCTAACCTAACCAAACCAAACCTAACCTAACCTAACGTCCCCACAACAAGACATTAATACTGACGGCGTTGATATAGTTGAAGAGTGAGGACCCATCTCCCCAGGGCGTCTCACTCTCGCAGGACAGGTTGGCGAGGCTGAGGGTGGCCGACCTCTCCAGCGCGTGCAGACCCTTGGCGAACACATTGACGCTGTCGTAGATGAGGGCTGGTTCTGCCTGTGGTGGAGAAAGAGAGTGAGTGAGGGAGGGTGGGTGGGTGGGTGAGGAGAGAGGGAGGGAAGGTGAGGGGGGGAGAGAGATCGAAGGAGGGGGCAGGCATGAGGGGTGTGTGTGGCAGAAATGGGGGTGGTGGCAGGCAGGCGGAGGGAGTGGGCAGAAATGGGGGGTAGGGACAGGCGTGGGGTGGACAGGCGTGGTGGGACAGGCGTGGGGTGGCGTGGCAGGGACAGAAATGGGGGTGGGGACAGGCGGGGGGTGGCAGGCGTGGGGTGGTGGACAGTGCGGGGTGGCGGGACAGGCGTGGGGTGGCGTGGCAGGCGTGGGGTGGCGTGGCAGGCGTGGGGTGGCAAGAATTTCGAGAAAGAGGAAACTTTGTGGGAGTAATATCATAGTTCCGGCTGTAGAGATTCTGTGTCGTGTTTTATTGGTCCTCTCTGGGTCAGGTCAGGTCAGGTCAGGTTAGGTTAGGTTAGGTTAGATTAGGTCAGGTCAGGTTAGGTTGGGTTAGGTCAGGTTAGATTAGGTCAGGTCAGGTTAGGTTAAGTTAGGTTAGGTTTTGTGAAAATTTGAATACTGTATTTTTCTTGATGGCGACAGAGAGAGAGCGGTGAGAGGCAGTGAGAGGTGTTAAGAGTTGGCAAAAAACGATGAGTGTGGAGTGAGTGACTGAGTGAGTGACTGAGTGAGTGACTGAGTGAGTGACTGAGTGAGTGACTGAGTGAGGGGCAGTGAGAGATGGTGAGAGGCGAGAGACAGGAGGTGAACGGTACTTTATTCTTACGCCTACTACTACTACTACTACTATTGACTACTAATACTACCACTAATATTACTCCTGCTCGTGTAGTTCCTGCTGCCACTACTCCTGCTACTGCTCCTCCTGCTGTTGTTGCTACTGACGGAGGCGCCGTAAGTGACATCCTCGACGCCAAAATCGATTAGAAGCATTAAGTGCCTTCCTCTCCTGGGTCTGTCTTCCCCCTTCCTCTTACCCCTCCCCTTTACCACCTCCCTTCTCCCCCTCTTCATTGCTACTCCCTCTCTCCCTTTATTCCTCATCATTCTCCTCTCCCCCTTTCCCTTTAGGCCTCCATTCTCTTCTTATCTCTTCCTCCACAACCTCAGTCCCTCCCTTACTCCTTTCCCCATCTTTCCACCAATAGTGTACACGATCAAATCAGGATGTGTGCTTGCCAGGGCCTCCAGGTAAGGTAATAAGGGTTCAGGTATGAGAGCGTAATTTACCTGTGGCCTCATTAGCGAGCCATACGATAATTTATCTTTTTAATTCCAAGGTCAAGCGATACACCATTATATTTTGTAAAAGATAGATAGATAGATAGATAGATAGATAGATAGATAGATAGATAGATAGATAGATAGATAGATAGACACACTAACTCTCGTCATGGTAACGAGTCTTATAAAACATAAATAAGACCTGAGGGTAAAGAGTAGTGAACATTATAACTCGTAAATAAACTTGTAATTAAAACTATAAGACTTTCTTTATTTTTTTCGTTTTAATTCCTGGATGATTGAAAATATATAATTAAAAATGAAGAGAATTACACCAATTGTCATGTCCTTCTTGGGGGGAAGGGGGGGAGGGGACTGGGGAGAGGAGAGAAGGGGAGAGGAGGAGAAAGATAGAGAGGGCTGGGGAGGAGGAGGAGGGAGGGGAGGTGGAGAGAGAGCTGAGGGGGGGGGGAGGGGGGGTAAAGGAAGAGAGAGGGAGGGAGGAGGAAGAAATAATATAGAGCAGAGGGGAAGTTTAGGGAGGGAAGTAAAAGGTAGAGAGGAAGAAAGTGGAAAGAAGGGAAGAAGAGGAGGAGGAAGAAGAGGAAGAAGGAGAAGAAGCTTGGGCTACAGGTGGCAGGGCAGACTGTAAGGGCCCTTAGAGTGAGTGGAGGAGAAGTGAGAGGTGTGAGAGGGGTGAGAGGTGTGAAGTGTGGTTGAGAGGTGACTAAGAGAGGTCCAGGGTGGAGTAGTTGTGGCCAGAGAGACAGTGAGGAGAAAGGGAAGGGGAGAGGGTAGAGGTGAGGGAGAGGGAAGGAGGGTAGGGGAGTAGGGTAGGAGGGAGGGAGGGAGGGGTAAGGGTAGGAGAGGGTAGGAGTAGCGGAAGGGTAAGGTATGGGTAGAGGAAAGAGTGGAAGGGGTAAAATTTGGGGAAGGGAAAGTGGAGTGGAAGGGGTAGAGAAAGGGGGTATAGGGACTGGAAAAGGGGAAATGGAAAGGAGAAAGGGGGGGGGTTATTTACTCATCCCCCCCCTCCCTCTCATGGCAAAACTCCAATATGCAAATTTGTGGACCTGGAAAAACTCGAGGCATCTGGACAACTCATTAATTAGACGTTTGGAGAACTCCCATTATGATGAGGTGATTAATGTTCGATTATTGAGATGACACACACACACACACACACACACACACACACACAATACATTAAATCCCTGACGATTATTACACAGGTCAATTAATGAAAAACTAATGACCTCTGACCCTTTGAATTTGACTCCTAACCCGTAACATCCACCACCTGACCACTGAACTCCAACACCTGACCCCTGATTCCCAAACACCTGACTCCAAACCTCCAACACCTGAACCCTGACCCCAATACCTGACTTCAACACCCCATCACTTGACCCATGACCTCTGACCTTGATAATGGAAGACTTGTTGAGGATGGAGTGACCAATGGGCTGAAACTTCTCCATATCTCTGAGTATTTTCTGGACATGAACACTACTCGTATCCACAATCCTGAAGGCGGTCATGTTGACGTAGTTATATTTGAAGTCCTCCAGGTCAAAGGTCTCGATGTCCTGTAGGAGAGAGGTCAAGAGAGGTCACGACGAGGAGCAGGAAGGAGGTCATCTTAGAGGACAGTGCCAGTGTTGGGTCATTCAGACATGTAGTGATTTGGTTATGTATACGTTTAGTAGTGCCAGATCATATATGTGTACAGTGCCAAGATCATACAACAGTGCCAACATCATACAACAGTGCCAACATCATACAACAGTGCCAAGGTATACTCACAAAGGTAGTAAATAGGTAGTGGTAGCGGTAGTCATTCATTTGTAGCTGTAGCAACTGAGGAAGAGAAGGTGAGGGTTAGTTTATACGAGAGAGAGAGAGAGAGAGAGAGAGAGAGAGAGAGAGAGAGAGAGAGAGAGAGAGAGAGAGAGAGAGACACAAACCCACAACTCCAACAGGTAATAAACTATTCAATTACCTGAAAGAATATTTGCGTGGGTTAAGGTTTAAATTAATTCCTCTTTATATTACCAACGTCAAGGCCGCCATGTTGGTTAAAGCTGAGTCAATGGTTAAAGCTGAGTCAATGGTAAAGGCTGAGTCAATGGTAAGGTGCTGAGTCAATGGTTAAGGCTGAGTCAATGGTTAAGGCTGAGTCAATGGTTAAGGCTGAGTCAATGGTTAAGGCTGAGTCAATGGTTAATGCTGAGTCAATGGTTAATGCTGAGTCAATGGTTAATGCTGAGTCAATGGT